CCTCACTAGAATAAGACAACACTGAGAGAACCCCAGACGGCAGGGGTGAGGCTGAAGCACTCCTGCACCATAGAGACCAAGACAGACTGTACAGAAAGGAAAGAGAGGTGGCTACACACACTGCACTGCCCCTCCCCTAGGCCAGCGCAGCGCCACACGGAGATTCCCCCGAGCCTCGGGTTCCTCAGGGGGTGGGGGTGGGGCAGCCAGATACCCCAACATCATGGGTCACTTTGTAGGAGCCCCGACTCTGGTCTCGCCTCACAGGGACAGCGGGGAAATCTGCAGTCTTGCCCACTGGGAATCTGACTGAGAAGGGGTCGAGGGGCTGCAACAACTAGCACTGGGGCCTGGGCCGACTGAGTTCCTACCTGCAGGGCCCGAGTGGTGGTAGTCCCCACAGCCGCTTCGCTTAGCCGCAGCACTCCGACCAGGGAACTCGTCGGGGTCTTCAAACGAGGACTTCTGTCGGCCCGGAAGCCTGTTTTGTCCACCCAGGCAAGGAGCTGGCGAGACCTCCTCTCGCCCCACCTCAGAGGAGCGGACCCCTGGAAGCTGCGCGGGCAGCAGCGCTGGAGCTGAGGGGGCATGGGCGAGGCTGGTAGCTTCCAGAGAGAAGGCAGTACCGGGTGCAGGGCTCCCCTGCTCCGGCCCAGGCAGGGGAATTCATTCCTAACCGAGACTGAGAGTCGCCCCCGGCCCACCCGCCTGCAAAGCCGGAAGTGACCCGCCGTCCCGCCTGGGCGAGGGAGCTAAAATGTAGCCCCGCCCACAGTGACTCCCGGGGGAGGGGGTATTGGGCCAGAGGGGCTTGCCAGATCCTCTGGAAGCTGTATAATCAAAATAGAAAAATAAAAGTAGTATTTCTTCACAACACTGTAAAATGATTATGAATCAATAAAAAATGTAAAAAAAATATATATTATAAACGGCAGCATTGGAACATCACCTATTGCAGTATTCCTGCCAAAGATGTTTAACCTGAGTCTAATTATCAGAAAACAATCAGATACAAATTGAAGGACATTGGGGCAGGAAGGGTAAGGCAGAACCTGACGTAGGCTCTTCAAAAATGGCAGTGTCATGAAAGGCAAAATAAGCCTACTTAAATGTTCTAGACCAAAGGAGACAACCAAGTGCGCTGGAAGAGCCTCAACAGGACTCTGGATCCAAAAGTAAACACCTGGAAAGAACATTTACTAGGACACCTGGGGATATTTGCATGTGGATTGTACATTAATCATCTTTCATAATGGGTAAACTTCCTGAGTTTGATCATTGTACTGTGGTTATGTAGGGGAATGTCCTTGTTCTCAGACGATACATGCTGAAATATTTAGAAATATAAGTGTCCTATCTACAATTTTCAAATAGTCAAAAAAAAAAACACCTCTATATATATGTGTGTGTGTGTGTGTGTGTGAAATTGAACTGTAATCTGGGCTATGAAAAAGCCACTTTTCTGTGATGAGCTCAGATATGGATTTACAGGGATTATTTATGCTAAGAGACCCTAGCAGGGGCTGCCAGTAAATTGTGGTAATTTGGCCTTTGGTAATTTGGTTTGAAAGAGAGAAAGAACACAAATGTGACCAAAATGTTAACAACTGGTGACTATAGATGAAAGGTACATAGGTGTCCATAATATAACGCCAGGTGCCATTGTCAACAATGCAATTCTCTAAAATATATGAAAAGTGAAAAAAAAATATTACAGTCAACTTATAAGTGGTACTCGTTTAATTCATTTTACCCACTTATAAGGCTGCTTTTAAGGGGCTGAATTTAGACCATTGATTATAAACATAATGGAAGGCTGGTGCATGTAGAGAGCAATCTGGGTATGTGATAAGAGACTGCTGGGTATTTAAGGTTTAAAAAAAAAAAACTTGACAGATGACCCAACCAGCATCCCCAAATTAATATTAATAATAAAAACTGCAATTATGTAAGTAAAAACAAAAAAAAAAGTATTTCTTGCCCACTTGTTTTTGGTGTACTGAGATTTGTACCTGTCACCCATCGATCTCCCAAATGAATTTTACTAATTATTTGAGATTACCAATTTTTATGTCTCAAAGTGGATGAGATTCTTCATCATGGTAAAAAAAAATTCATTGCAAATTTAACATATTGTGAGTCAAAATAAGTTAAGAGTGAAGGAAGGAGTGGTAAACGCTTTACTCCTACAAAAGAGTGAATGTGGTTAGATTGCCCCTGTTGTAGAATGCTGCAGAGATATTTCTTTACCAGATGTGGATATAAACTATAAAGAAAAGTGAAAACCATAGTTGAAAACCGAAGTCTTGCTGGCCAAAATTAAATATTGCCATATATTTTAAAAATATTAAAGTATAAAATAATATGCTTTAGTAACACGTATTTTATCCAGGAAGGACAAAACACTTCCAGTTTTCAACACCCTTACAATTACACCCACAATGGTAAATTATGGTTACTGGGTGAGACTATTCTGTTTTGCTTATCAAGCAAGAAAGCAAAAATTCTAACTGCCACATTTATGAAACTGGCTGGAAAATGTTATCATTAAATAAAAAAAAACACTATAGATAACATTAGTAAAAGTTCCATAAAATAACTACGTTAAAAAAAACCCCAAGCATCTGTATTAAGAATTTTGAAAATGTTTATTTATTGTATTTATTTGGAAAACAAAACAATATACTAAAGATAAATTTATCAAAAACAAGTCTTATGAACAGGCATTTAAAATGTTTAACATTGAACTAATACAGTAATAGAATTAACCTGTGAAATGTTAAAGATAGAAAAGGTGGGATTTTGTTCAAATAAGATCTGAAACACCTTTATGAAATTTATTTTGCTCAATCAGTGTGATTTTGAAGAAGTTATGTGTACATTATTATGACTCAAACTGTAGGGACAATTTTAAACACTTTTTAAAGAAAATAAAGCATTCTAAACATGCTATCCAGTACAGTAGCCACTATCTACGTGTGGTAATTTAAATTTAATTTTTAATTAGCTAAAAACGAGATACAATTTAAATTTTAGTGCCTCAGTGTAACTAGCCACATCTCAAGTGCTCAAAGGAACATGTGGCTAGACACTACCAATACTGGACAACATAAAATTATAGAATACTACCAACATGGTGGAAAGTTCTGTTAGACAAAGCTGGTCTAGTAACTTATATAAGCAACCACCATAATAAAGTTAACCATATAAACCTTGAAAAACTTCTGCAAATATGAAGTTTTTGTTTTTGTAATTTTGCTTCTAATCCGGGGAATATGTCAGATACCACAAAATACAAATCAAATTTGAAATCTGCATGTACAATTTGAAACTTAATCTTGCCTAGGATATAATTTTACTTTGCCATATTAACTCTGTTACTAGTAGTTTGTAAAATTATCTGTGAAACTGAATGGTGAAGCCAAAGACTAACTTAGATGAATTACTCTCAAGTTAAAAATCTGGAAGATTTTTTAGCTTGAATTATCTATTTTTAAGACCACTGTAGGCAGGGCCTAAACATATATAGATATACATAGAACTACTGTAGTTTTATTAAGCTAAAGGCAACTAAAGCAAATTATTTGTTTGGAGAAGAGTCTTAAAAGTTAAATCTTATATCTCTATAAAACTATACTGTATTTCACTAAAATACTCTAAAAGTTGGATTTAATCTTCAAAATATGTATCATATGAAAATATGTATCTATTCTACCAACTGATCACATAACACCATCTTAAACTATCTCTGCTTAGCTTACTGTTCCTTCTCTACATCTGTGAGTGTTTCTTTTCTGTTACAGTCTCTGGTTAGTTGTATTTTTTAGATTCCACATGTAAGAGATATCTTTCTTACGGTATGTCTTTCTCTGTCTGTCTTATTTAACTCAACAAAATGCCCTCCAACTCCATCCATGCTGTATGCTGGAAAATACATTTTAAATCAGCTGTACTTAATTAAAAAGCAACCAACCAACCAACCAACCCATTTAAAATATGGGCGGAAGAACTAACAGACATTTGTACAAAAGTGGAAATGTAGATGGCCAAAAAGAATATGAAAAGTTCCTCCACATCCCTAATATCAGGGAAATGCAAATCCAAATCACCATCTCACAACTGTCAGTATGGCCATCAAAAAGAACACAAGGAACTAATGTCGCAAAAATGTGGGGGAAAGTTTTTTCTTTCTTTTGGTCTTTTCTAATGGTTTGAGACTAAAGGAACTTCAACAAAGTCTCCTGATACAATTTTCTATGTTGACTCTTAGTAAACTTGTGTGATAAAATATTATCAGGAAGTAGTTAAAAGAATTCTGTTCTTATCAGGAGTAAATCAAAAGAACGTAAGTCTCATCTCTGGAAAGCTTACGTCAAACAATATGAAGTCAATCATATGAATCCCCTACTGATAGATATATAAGAAAGCAGCATGGATGTTTTGGTTATATGTAAACCATAACACTCTTCTGAATCAGTATAGCTTAACCTAAGCTCTGTAGTGACAATTCACTTGACAATATTGAGTGTCTGTTACCTGTAAGTTCCTACGCTCAGCATTATGGTTTGCCTATCCAAAAATGGCTCACTACCTCACTGCCTGTATCTGTGTCACTGACACTCAGATTTCATCTGCCATTAAGAGATAAATGTGCTATTCTCATTCTTCATTAAAACAGCAATGAAAACTATCTTTTTACTACCATTCCCTTATTCACAGCTTCTTATCAGAATACTGCCCATCACTTTGCTCATGGGATAAAACATTACACATCTTCCTAATGCAATTCCGCCTCCCTTGTAGGCAGACAAAGAACAGTGGCTATTTCTTTAGGTGTGAATGCAGAACTACAAAGCCACTACAACAGGCTAATTTTGGAATTATAACTCAAGAAACTTAAATGATGATGCAAAAGACACAAAAGTAAAAAGAAAAATCCAGATGGCTGACATTCAGGTACTTCAGTGAGCTAAGTCAGTATCTCTTGGCTCTGACTCTGTTCACGAGGTCGTTGTCGGAGGCGACTGTGATTTAGATGTAGAATTCCTGAGGTGATATCTAAGACTACGGATACAACTATTGATAGCTGTCACACACAATTTCCAGTCACGTCCAGTTTCCGATAGATCAGAAGCCGGGTAGATGTCTTGGAGAAACTCTGGTGGTAAAGTTCCAAAATATAATAGTTACTTAGAAATCACTTCTCAGAGAAATGAATTTATTTAACCTTAAAGCTATTGCTGTGTCTGTGAAAGGGTCATTAAGACTTTAATTAATTAAAACACATAGACTATCGCTATCATTAAGTTAGCTAAACAAATCTTTTCATCTGAAAGGATAATAATATGAAATAGCACCATTCTTAAATCATACACAAAAAGAACAACAATATCGCATACTCTTACTACATAAGCAGAATGGAAACCCTCTGCTCTCTTTGGTACCCAATGTAAACTTCTCTCATTCTTAAATTTATCAAACACATATCTAGCACGTTATTCATTGTATCAAATAGAAACATGCTAATAAGTCTCTGTAACATACTAGAGGCTGTAGTGTCTTTCATACTTTTAGAGGCAAGAAGCTAAATTTTTTGGTACTGCTTGGTTTATCTCAGACAAAAGGAATGAGAGTCTTTAGATCTTGCAGTTAGATGACAACTTCCGAAACAGAAGGTTACAGAGCAACATAGCTCAAGGAGCACTTTTAGAGAAAGTGGGAGGACAAAGGAAAAAGTGGGGAAGAGAGGTGTTAACTAGAAGAGCAGAGCTGCCCTTGGATACTTTTTTAGGTAATTTCCTAAGTACCTTTGAGCTGTTAGAAAATGATCTGGCAATCACTACAGGCCAGCGTTAGTTGGCTACATTAATCTCATTTGTCTTTTGATAAGACTAATAGACTGGGAAATCAGGACTATGCCATAAACACGGCGTATATCCAAATTTTTTAGCAAGGCATGTGACAAAGTTAAAAAGCTTTCATACTCAGGCTAATTAATAGATCAGCGGTAGCCTGGAAGTGGGCTTTTAGTGGTATGTCACTGGATTCAGTATCAAGCTCTATCCTGCTGCCCATTTTTATTAACAAAAGAGAAGCTATGGAAAGCAGGCTTGTTCCATCTTCCAATGACAGCAAAATTGGGACAGATAACTAATAGACTGGAAGATGAATACAGTACCTGCAAAGCTTTCAACAGGCTGCAACAAGGAGCCTAAATTGCTTGGTGTTTCCCAAAATGTATTCTCTGAAACACTAGTCATTAAAAGAAGTTTCCCTGGGGTGGGGCAAAGATTCTGGTTGTGCAAATAAGAAATGCTTAACTCCAGAGTTAGCCTCCACTGAAAAATCCCACAGTAAAGAGACATGCTGATTCAAAGATGGCAAATGGAGATTTGGTGGGGCACGAGAATGAGGGGGGTGGCAACACATAAGACCACAGAGGGTCAGGACTATGGAGATCTGGGCAGGCTTGACAGCTAAAGGCATTCAAAGCATGTTTTAAAACAGAGTTAAATGAAACAGGTCTATGGACTGAGGCCCTTAGGGTGCCAGATCAAGATCTTGCCTAGCCATTTGTCTAAAAAGCACTTTATTCATGAAGTGCTTATTAACATTCAGCTGTCTTTAGGAAACATAGTTTGGGGAATGCTGCTCTACACTAAAAGGATAAAATGCAGGAGGTATAAATATAAAATCCAATATTTACATTAAAAAATACTAGCAATATAAATAGGAACAGCCTAAATACTAACAACAGAAGTACTGGATAGTGAAACACTATAGAATTTAAAGACTCTTTCATTCAAAAAAAAAGTTAAAAACTAAAATTGAAAAAAAAAAAAGTACTGGATAAATGTCAGTATATAAAAAAAAGAGCCAGGAGTTTTAGTTGACCAAGTTTTAAAATAAGAAGTGCCATTTTAGGCTGTATTAACAGCCTAATAGGTAATAGTACTATTGTATTCTGGGTTAACTTGAGCACATATGAACTTAGTCACTAAATCAGATCATGAAGAATTAGGAAAATATTTATGAGGAATTACTGAATGAAATGGGGATATTTAACTGTAAAAGTGTAAGATTTTTGAGGGAAAAAGTTGGGAATAACACTTATTCTCCAATTCTCATGCTTCCATGTAGTGAGATCTCTAAATGGGAAAGTCTGGAAGAACTGGGCATGTTTGATTCAAAAATAAAGCTGATATTTTAATCTCCACCTACCAGGTTCTAGTGGCTGTCTCCTACTTGGTTCTGAACTTGAAAGTGGGAGAAGAGGGTATATCTATCTCCTAACGCATACAGCAGAAAGAAATAGCTGTATTTAAATACTTGAAGGCCTATCATGTGAAAAGTGGTTAGAGCTACGCTATTTAGCTCTGGAAGCGATGAGTAGGACAAATGTGCATTACTCGCAGGGAGGTAAATGTTGAGTCACCTGAAGGAAGAACTCTCTCACAAATTAGAGCCCTTTTAAAATGAAGTGGATTGCCATTAATAGAAGTGTTCAAGCCAAGGGGAGGCAACTATATGCCAAAGCTGAGCTAGGAACTGCTCTGAATGAAAAGCTGTATCAGAGAACCTGTAATGTACTTCCCGTCGCTAAGATTTTACAGTTCTGTAATATTCAAAAATGGATGGGAGTGTGCAGGAGTAAGGGCTGTTTGCTGATTGCAAATCTGCAGCCTACTAACTTTCTCCATATGAGCCATTCTCTAAAGAGACCTTAAGTGATACTGAACTCTCAGAGAGCATCACGTAATAGTTTCTTATATGAAATCAATACCTTTGGCTATGGACATATTTACCTTTGATTACTAATTTCCAGAAGAGTTCCCCCCAAGTAATAAAATCTTATGATAAGAAGTGATGTTACAATAGAGTAATAATCTGGTTTACCAATTGCTGATACCATCAATCAGCAGTTAAAATACACAAATTAGATCTCAAAAACATAATGTTGGGTGATAAAAATTTTTTTCAAAAGGATACATACTATATCCCCATTTATGCACATTAAAACAACTACAGAACAATATTATATATCAACATAGGTAGCAAAAGTGTAAAATATGCATGGGAATGATATATCCAACTCCAAGACTATGATTACTTTTAAGGAGAAAGACGGGAAACAGATGATGTGATGGAGTTTCAGTGACATCAGTAATGATTTACTATTTTTAAAAAACCTGGGGCACAAAAGGCAAAATATCTATATCCATGCTGGGTAAACAGGTGTTAATTTATTACTATATTATTTTTTATACATTTCTATATGCTTTAAATAGCTTATACTGAACCAATACTTCTAAAGAAGTTATGTTAGAGGCTATAAAGCCCAGTTCTCTTACTAGTGCAGGAATTTCCTCACATCTCTGGTCACTCAGCCTTTGCTCTGACATTTTCATTCTCCAAGTTCATTCTGTCCTTGTATTAAAGTAAAATATGCTTTCCTGTCAGCTTCTCCTCCTTGGGCCTGGCTCTGCACCCCCAGGACAATGATGATTCTACTGTATTCTCTCTGCTGAAATAACTTACATGGCTGCCCTTCAACAAAGGAGTAGAACTTTGAGTCTTACGGGAAATTTGTTAAAATACGTCCTATGTGGATAGTATGTCAAATTCATGCTGAATATTTTTTATTACAAAAGACATATTCTTGATTTGTAATATAACTTAATAAGGAATAAAAAAATGAAATAGAATAATACCTTTCGTCCACTTTAAAGGAACTAATGTATTGCAGACATTAAAGAACTATGGAAGTCACCTTTTCCCCCTCACTTAAAAAAATTTTTTTCTTTAGAAAGACATTATTTCTTCTATAAAAGAAATAGAAAGTTTCATTTCCAACTGGCTACAAACTCTGTGTTCGTCTTTTACTATAAGGTAAGAGGAATTGGGTTTTGGTTTTTTGCGTGATGAGTTAGCTCAGTGATGTTCAAAGTGCAAATTGTGACCAATTACTAAGTTGTAAAATCAGTGATAGCAGCACTTTAAAAAGTGTAATAGAATAGAAAAGATCGGAATATAATTCTCATAGAAAAACTAGGTATTGTTTGTGAAACTTTTGCCTCATTAAAAAAATCACACATATATACTGAGTAACACTGAAAAATGTATTTCTTACTATGGGTTACAGTAAAAAAAAAAGTTTGAAAACAACTGGATTAGATGATAGCAAATGCTTACAAAAGGTGCTGTAAGTCAGGTTTCTTTAGTCTGAAATACAAGTGTGAACTATGTCTTTGCTGGTACTAGGGACACAAGTAAGAAATATTCTGCATCCTGCTTCATCTAAATTTAAGATTTCACAGAATAGCTTCTGGAAGCTTTATTATTTCAGCTATTTATGTCATAGATAAAAACTATACTATGCTCATGTGCACAAGAAAAAACTTGCAAATTAATCTGCTGTGCTATTGTTGACACTTCTGCAAACTGACAAAGCCCAGCAGTTTCAACCTTGATCCTCAGTAAATGAAGGTGTTTGAGTTTCTGTATGTCTGGCAGTCCATACCAGGAGCCACAGTCAATAATGCCTTTCCTGTTCTAATAATGCCACTCAAGACAGAGCAATTAGCCCTGAGAACCCAAATGCAAAGAGAATCACATTCATGGACCTACTCCCTGTTATACCCTAATGAAGGAATTAGTAGAAAAGCTCCCTCTCCTCAGAACAAACACAGACTGAATGAATTTTTCTTTCTGTCCTTCTCTAACACAATTTGCTATTATTTATTCTCACATATTCAACATGTAACAAACCTCGGAGAGCATTAATCTTATTGGAGTCAAGGGCGAACACGCCACGCCCCAACGTGCCATAGACGTTACTTTGTATCAGGATTTCCTCTGTGAACAGGTTGCGAATAAGGTATCTGGCTGACAGCTCTGGGCAAGACTTCTGTTTTGCTATATTCAGTACCAGTTTTGGCAACTGTATATTTCTACATGGATTTCCAAGATATTCTAGAAGCAAAAGAGAAAGAAGATGTCAGTTTTTGTGGCCGTTGTTAGGTTCAAGTTTTTTAAAAGGCTGTTAACAGAAAAGTTGATTTTTCTGAACAGTAAGGCTCAAGAATCTGAGAGGTTAAAAAAAATTCAAGCCTTAAGTTTTTAGTGTTATCGTGATAGCAGGAGAAATGAGACAGCAGTCACTGCTGATGTGATTACACGTGCTCTAATCGTTCAAGAGGCCGATTCAATATTCTGCTACCTTTTAAAGTATTTAAGTTTTAACATTACATTTGGTAACAAATTCTCAGTAATTTTATTTATTTTTGTTTGTTTTGTCCTTTTTTGGTGAGGGTGTAATTAGGCTTTATTTACTTAGTTTTAATGAAGGTACTGGGGATTGAACCCAGGACCCTGTGCATGCTAAACATGTACTCTACCACTGAGCTATACACTCCTGCGCCCAGTAATTTTAATAAACTGTTTTCCTACTTACAAAAAAGGCTTTTTCAAAATTAAGGACCATGATTCTTACAAAAGTATTTATAATTTTTAACATGTAGGTTTTCTATTTGGTATTAAACTCATCATCAACAAACTCATCTTAAAATATCATATTTTAAATAACTTATTTGAACTGTAAAATAAATTTTAGGCCTGTTTTTATTTCTCAACTAATCATTTCTCTTCAGTCCATAGTGATTCAAATTCACCATACTTAAAAAATATTATAGTGTAAATATAACAAAGAATTACTTGTTGAAGAAAATACATTAGACAAATATAATATGATTCTTACAAGTTAACCAACACATTTTTCATCTTGGATGTTCCATCATTTAATGGGTGACAGTACAAATTGCTGAATCCCCCAGATCTAACAGTTAACAAGAGAGATTAAATTATTTTAAAAATTCACTCAGTGGGCCCAAAGACTTAACATCTGTAAGATTAATCAAGCAATATTTATTATCAAGAGTCAGAAAAAAGTTAATACTCTTCAACCTGGTGATTTGAATTCAGAGAACCTAACAAGAAAAGAATCAAAAATATGTACAAAGCTATATGAATGAAGATTGTTTTTGGCAGCATGTTTGCATGATTGATAATCTCCTCCAAAATATCCTCAAACAAAAAACAAAAACAAAACAAAATAACAACAATAACAAAAAGACGGAAGTAGTTAAATAAATTATATTATACTTACTCAATGGAATGTTATATTCCTGTTAAATACAATGGTTATGAAGATTGGAGATTTTGAGGAAAAACATATACATATCATATTTAAAAGGAGAGTAACTATATGGAGACCTTAATTCTTTAAAAAGTTCATAAGAAAAAAAACCTGAAAGATAATTTGAATGTCTGCAATAGTCTTTTAAGGTATCTTGATTGAGGAAACTTTTCTTCCCTTCTAAGTATTTTCCAATTTTTCGATGAAATGGTATAATAGAACTAAATTGTGGTGGTTTCCTGACTCATAATTTGCTTTTGTTCTGTCCCCCAATTCTAGCTGAGACAAGGTCAGAGACCTGTGACTCAAGCTCCCCAAATCAGATTCCTTCTCCTGGGAATCTGAACAGTGACAAGAGAAAACCAGAACCTAGAAATAGAAGCTACAGACACGGAACCTCAGAGATCTCAATGGACCCCAGATGCCACAGTTTGGGGGCTGCTCTGGCTCCTGTCTATGGCTCAATTTGTTATTTGCTTCTTTTAATCTAAGAGATATTCGTCCAGTGATTTTTGTTGTGGTTTAATATGACCAGAGTCTGCCTGTTTCTATGGTGTACAACCTGAACAAATACAGTAGTTACATTACGTTTTCAATGGAAAAAACAAAAAATACATTATTTAAATAATCTTGTTTGAACAGGTTCACAGGTAATATTCTCCCTAGGGTTAACATGGGGGCAAGGGAGAGACAAAACAGTTTTGCTACCTCAGGCGCCATTAAACCCCAAGAACTCACTGGGAAGCATGAGTGGCAGATGGCACTGTCACCTACGGAACCCACTGCCACTTGACACTAAGGAAGTAGGATGTGCCTCCAGCAGGCAGCAGCAAGGGCACAAAGCTCTGCAGGATGGGATTCATTAATTCACGCAAACACTCTCTATGAAGCACCTGTAATGTGCCTGGCACACAGAGAGCAAGACCCCTGAATTGCTTCTGGCCCATCCAGCTGTAGATCCTTCTCTTACCTGCGGAGAAGGGTGCCTAACCTTAGAGTTCCCACTAGTTAAATGAGTCGGCTGAGAACTGTTTCCAAAGGAAAAAGAGTAGACTTAGCTTAATGTTACAAACTATCAGTCTCAGAACTGGGTATCTACATTTCACTAATTCACTAGTACAGAGATTAAGTTGTTTAGATTTCTTATTTTGAAAAATCTTGAACATATACAAAAGCAGAAAGAATACTATAAGCCCCATAAATTCATCACCCAGATTCAACATTTATCATCAAGAGAACTTATTTTAAAACTCACCCAGTGTTTCATAAGATACCATTGAATTATCAGTGGAAGGTTCTTTAATTCCCTCAGGGAGAGCACTGATGTTCTGCTGAGAATTCCCATTTTCTCTTGTTTCTGAGACAGCTGCTTGCTGAGATAACTGGGAACTACTTTCACCACCAGAACCATTCCTTTTATCATTTGAATCTGCAGACGTTGGTCTATCGGGGTTGGTAGGGTCTTTATTGTTGTCAACAGTTTTCTGCTGAAACATAAAATTGTATCTATAAAGAAGGTCCCATAATGGGAAAATACAGACATGCTCCATCATCTACCAGGGACCCCCAGGTTTGTGGGGAAGCAATTGCTTCTAATAAGGTGGGCTGAAGCCCATGAACACTGTGTGGTATGATAAAAGCTGCCATGACTCACTGCTTCTTGGGGGACTCGGTAGTTGTCTAATGAACTGAATAACTGCTGACACAAAATAAGTGATAAATAAATATTTCATAAATAAATGAATAAGTGAGTTTCTCAAAAATAACAACTTTTTGTTTTTTTTAAATGTTTTTGTTCTCTCTTTCCCCAGTGGTCTTCAAATCTGGTTGCATATTTAAACATTTGAATTGCCCTAGGGATCTTGGTTTTTTTTAAAGCTGTGCTGGGGTCCCACTCATGGCAAATTCAACTAGAATCTCTGTTGGAGGGAGTGGGAGAGCTCAGGCATTAATAATTTTTTAAAAAGGATCTCACACATTTCTAATATATACCTAGAGCTGACAACCACTGCTCTAGGTTGCAGCTTCTCAAAGTTCAGTGTACACACAAATCACCTGTGGGGTCTTGCTAAAATGCAAATTTTGCCTCAGTGAATCTGGTGTGGAACTCAAGACTCCACATTTCTCACAAGCTTTCCAGAGTTGCTGTTGCTGGTCCGCGGACCCACTTTGAGTGGTGAGGACCTATCCCTCTCCTAATCAAGTACACAGCAGGCACTTGGCAGATGCTGCTTCTCTTCTGACGCCTAAGCAAATATGCAAATTACCATTTTCCAGGCAGTATCATAATTTTACATTCAAATGTTTAGGGTGCAATTCTGTAGGATATAAAAGGGAATGTGAAAAATAAGCAGATTTGGTTTCATACAGATGATGCTTGAGCTATCACTGAAATCAAGTCATTCACCAGGAAAACATAAGCTCAGCTACAAACATTCTTGGCAAATAGTTTCCATAAACTTACTCTAGAGACACAAGAGTGTCACTACATGGTGAGAATAAAATGGGAGTTTTAGAGAGGTAGGTGGAAATTAGGAATTGTTGTTAAGTTAAATGCTTCATCAGGAGAAAGCAATAGACATGTCTCTCTTCCCTACTGACCCATTAGTGTTAAAAAAAAAAAAACCTCTGATGCACTTTGAAGACAGAATGGGTAAGAGAGAAGCCAGAGTCCCACTTACCATGCAACTAAACAGAGTATAAAATATCTGTGATAGCTTAACATCATCACATGCATTATTTTCACCAGTTTCTGCCATCACTGAATGTGAACAAGTAATGAAGTACCTTCCTTTTCTCCTGTGCCATCCTTAACTACCACCAGAACAGCTAACTAGCACCACAGTCTGCTCTTTTCTGTGTTACTCAGTAGGATACTGGAAAAGATTTGCCAAATATCTTACAGCTGAAATTTTTTTCTAATATAACCCTTGGCTTCAAATAAACTAATTATAACACTATATTTGATTTATTTTATGTTTAGGATATCTTTATGGAGCAAAATGTCAAAGAGTAAAATAAACAGGCAGTATGCTTTTGAGAGAACATACCCTGCCCCTAAATTAAATAAGCAAGATTTTTAGCACATGGACTGAAGAGCCTGTATGTCATGCAGTCAGTTTGGGAGTTGTATACAGTATGCACTTATATGGTAGTGGCCATATTTAGATGAAAAAGAACTTACGAGTTTTCTTTTGGCTTCAAAACATAAATGCCAGATGAGAGCATTGATATCGGAAATACAGGCTTGCCAGTCTTTTCCATGTTCACGCAAATCATGGTTGGGAAAAACTGCTGCCAGATATTCTGAAGATAGCAGAAAGAATTCACAAAAAAATAGGGAAAAAATTAACAAAGAAACTGATGACAAGAAATTTTTTATTTAAAATACTGAAAGTTTCTATTTTTAATTATCATTCTTTCCTCTGACTCTTTTTAAGAGCTTAGAAATTCCACCTAACGAGAATGCTTTGCTGAATATCTCATTTCTTCTAATGTTCAATTCCCTAAAACACTGACCTCGGGTTTAGTGACCTGATAATGAGGTTTTGGTGCTTTAAAAAAGTTGTTTAACAAAAAGTCAACTATTTCAGGGTGCTAATGCCCTTTAATAACCCTATGGATAAATTAATACTAAAAATAGAAGGAAACCTGTAAAGAGAAAATAATTGCAAACATTATTATACCATGGTCTATTTATTTGTGCACATTACATGTCTATCTTCCCGCCAAGCTACTCACTCTGCCTAGAATATCCTTGCTATTTTCTTTACCTAGATAAGGAATCCTTCCAAATCTAGCTCGAATGTCTTATCCTTAGTAAGCCTTCCCTAATGCCCTCAAAGTAGGTGCTCTGCTCTCTGAGCTTCCACAACATTACCACACTGGGTTGGAATTGATCTGTTTCCCTGAATGTGTCCCTTTCTAGACTGTGAACCCCTTGTCAGCAGAAACACTTATTCATTATTGTATCCTTAGTGTCTATGAGTTCTAGGACCTCCATACACATTTCTGGAAGACAGGAAAGCAGGAGACTAGACTGCATTAATCATGAGATTTTATTTCTGTGTTGCCAGTTACTAGTAGTGAAATGTGTTTTATTTTCCCACTTTTCTTTTTTTTTGCTTTTTCTTTATTTTCTAGTACCAAGTTTCAGCACTGAAGAACTGACTTACTACTAACCATAAGCAACTATAATCAATAAAGCTTGTCTTATTCCACCAGTCTATGGACAAGTTTTATTCTTCAGAAGTTGATATCCATCACATACTACTAAATTGTAAAATCTGGGTTAGACAGGTGAAAAAAATTAACAGTTCTAAAAAGCTACATAGACTCCATCATTATGTCTTCAACTACCAACAACATTCATCAGATGATCAAATGATGACAAAACAAAGATTCCAAAATGACTTTACATACCTCTTATTGCAGCCATTTTGTTTGGATCCAGGGGTTGGCGGCCTTTGGAATTGACACTTACAGAGCTACTCATCAGGGTTTCTTTGGAGAACAAAATACGAACCAAGTAGCGGGCTGCAAGGTTAGGTTTGGTCTTCTTTTGTGCAGTCATCAAATGAATATCAAGTATCCTGACATTTCTTTTTGGATCACCAAGATATCCTTTAGAAATACAGGGGAAAAGTAAAATCCTTGTTTTTTCACACAAGGCTACCATGAAGTGCCCAAGAAAAACTGATTTCTAATTCACAAATTTCTACTTGAGTGAATTTTTTTCTATACTTACCTCTTCTTTTCCTTAAATGAGTCTCTTTGATGCTATATGCATAACTGTTAGTATTTTTTCACCTTTGCTAGTCTTGAATTTGCTGTGTTAAAATAATCAGTTCATTGTCTTGAAAAATTTAATTCTTAGGCCACAGGTACATATGTAAACATGTTGCTCTCAAACCCATTGCTCTCTTTTACATTCTAAAAGTACACTCACAGCTTTATTACTGAGTGAGTATATGTTCCCTGAAGACAATTTAGAAAGTATAGGTCGGTATAACTAACAAAATTTAAAAATAGTTAGCATTTATAGAGTATCTACTATGTATCAGGCACTGTGCTAAATATTTTACATCTATAAGCTCAGTTTCATTATCCTAAAAACTTATTCCCACTTAGCAGATGAAGAAACTGAGACCCAGAGAAGGTAAATTATTTGAAAAAGACCACACTGCTAGTTATAGAGCCAGTTTTAAAAGCTAAGTCTATGAGTTAATAAGCCAGGTGCCTTGAACCATTAATCATCTGCTAATGTTTTCTATTCTTTTCTTCTATTTCTTCTTTTAAAACACAAAACCGAAACCATACTTTATATATAGCTTGAATCCTGCTTTTTCAGTTACCATTAGATTTTGCACATTTCTCCATTTTCTTTTTTTTCCAAGTCTGCATTCCTGTCATCATGGTTTTCCTGACAGGTGACATTTATGTTGCACTTATGTCTTGGCATTGTGTTAAGAGCTTTAAGTGAATTATCTCATTTGATCCTCACAATTCTATAAAGTAGATACTATCATTTTTGCCACTTCACAGATGAAGAAACTAATACTTAGGTCAGAGAAGTGGCTGAAGGTCACATGGCTAGTAAGACACAGAGCTAGGATTTGAACCCAGGTAGTCTGACTCAGTAGCCCATGCTTTTAACCATTATGCTTACTGCCTCACATACCATGGTATACCAGAAGTCACTTAACTAATTCCCTATGGTTGCCTATTTGGCTGCTTCCAATTTTTCATGATTCTGAAAAAACAATTCTTGTAGCAAAATGTTAATACAAACCTGTTTTGTTTTTATTTATTTGTTTTGTTTTGGGGGGAGGTAATTTGATTGACTGACTGATTGACTGATTTTGATAGAAGTACTGGGGATTGAACCCAGAACCTCATGCATGCTAAGCACACACTCTACCACTGAGCAATACCCTCCCTCCCCAAATCTTTTTTTATTATACCTTTGGATAGAAGTGGGATTACTGAGTAAACAAGAATAAATATTTGTATGGCTTTTTAAACAAATTACTCTTCAGAAAGTTTTCACCTTTCTAACAATAGCATATCACAGTGCCCATTTAATACAAAAAGCACAATTTGTGAAGTTTCTTCTAGTTTGGGTAACAAAATAATTTAAAGGAAAAGGGTCTCCTCTGGAACAGGGGTCAGCAAACTACAATCCACAAGCCAATCCCACCACCAGTTTTTGTAAAGTAGTATTAGCACACAGCCACACCCATTCATTTACCTACATTTGTGGCTGCTTTCATACTAGAAAAGCAGAGTTGAGTAGGTGTGAGACACCAGACGGCTCACAAAGCCTAAAATAGTTACTATATAGCACTTTTCAGAAAAAATTTGCTGAGCCCTGCTCAAGGATATTAATAAGAGATTAGCTACTAAGAAGTAGAGACACGTAAGTATAAAATAATTAGGAAGGCTTGACGTTAGAGGCCATGGAACCTGGGATCTCCTCATCTCTGCCACTGTGGCTTAGAAGGCAATGCAGGAGACTATTATGAAACATAAGCTTTAAAGTCAGAGAGAACTGGGTTAGAGTTCTGGAACTGCCACTCACCACCTCTGTGACTTTGGGAATAGGGGTAATAAAAGTACCTGCATCATGGGGTCACTATGAATATTAATGGGGAAGATACATGTCAGTTGATTAGCAGTGGCACAAAACACACACTCAATAAATGTTAGTCCTTATTACTAATATCATCTAAAACCTGCCTTTGAAATAGGAAACAAAAAGTTCGTATCAAGAATGCTGAAAACTTGGGGAGGGTATAGCTCAGAGATAGAGTGTGTGCTTAGCACGATGAGGTCCTGGGTTCAATCCCCAGTACCTCCATTTTAAAAAATCCTGAAGAATATAGGTTAAATCGTGTTACTTGTAATTTGTGTCATTTCACACTCACCAAAATTGGAAGGGATGCAGAAAGATGACGAGGAGGGGTTTTGGCTATTGTCATTTTTCAATACAGTTGGGTAATTCATTGTTTCAGGACTCTTTTGCATGTTATTTTCTGCTTTCATCAATATTTCCATAGGTAAAAGTGCTGAAAGAAAAGACCTGTCTGGGGAGACGGAGAAGATGGCGGAGTAGAAGGACGCTCCTAAGTCACCCTCTCCCACAAATACACCAAGACCCACATCTACAGACCCACTCAGCCAACC